ATCCCAGCTGGCCTGCCCCTTTAGTTCTTCTGAAGTTCAGGCTGGTGTCTGACTACAAGGTTGGAATGGGATTCCTTGGGCCTACAATAGTCCATGTATCTCCTGCTAACTTGAACTGATCACTGTCATGGACACACTGGGAGACACTAGATGGGGTTAGCTTGTAGGTGATCTGAGTTCTGAGCTCAGTTGGCCTCTCTCCAAGATGGCTACTAGCCAATTGCCTTCTCCTGGGTGATGTCTGGATCTGGATAACTCACCAGTCGCTGCAGTCTGGTGCATCCACTGCTCTATTTCACTGTTGTGCTTCTCTGTGGAGGCCTCTGGGGGTTGCCAGCAGTCACCATGCATGTGCAGATTTAACCTGCCAGTCCCTTGCCAAGAATTCAGAATCTGGGAGAGAGCACTCCTTGTTTTTTGTTGTTGTTATTGTTGTTTGTTTTGTTTTGTTTTTGTTTTTGGTACAGGGGATCAAACTCAGGACCTTGCACTTGCGAGGCAGGCAGTGGAACCACTGAGCTAAATCCCTGGCGAGAACACTACTTGGTATCTCCCTCCTCTTCATTGAAGTCTCTTTCTTCACTTTCCCCATGGGCTTCAATTTTCATTTCAGATATTTCCTGGGTTCTGAGGACCCACTTCCCTCCTCCTTGTCCTTGTGCCCATGTATTCTAGTGTTAGGACACCAAATCTCAGAGAGGCTCTTTCTCTGCTTGTCACTACTATACCATCTTCCCAGAAGTCCTGTTCCAATTCTTTTATTTTTAAATTTAAAAGATTTTTTTTTTTCGATTTCATGTGACAAGAATCTTACTATGTACACGAGTTCAGCCTGGCCTTGAACTCACTGTGAGGTTGTCAGCAGAATCACTGAGCTAAATCCCTGGCCCTTGAACTCACTGTGTAGTCTAGGCTGGCCTTGAACTCATGGTGATCCTCCTGCCTCATCCTCCCAAATTCTAGTGTTATAGGTGTGTGCCACCATGCCCAGGTGAACTCAAATAATTTGAGTAATGTTCTCATGACTTTACTTGATTAATCTTTTAATTAGGGTATATTATGAAATAATTCATATAAATAGCACATGGTTTTGTTGAAATTTAGTGAATTCTTGGGCCTTCACTTAATGTAATAATATATACATATATA